TCTAAACCTTACATTTTTGACAGAGTGTCCAATAAAAGACATGTACACACACACACACACACACACACACACACACACACACACTAGCACCTTACATTTGGATAGCACTTAATTTCACTTACAGTCTTTGAAATTACCCCACCTCAATCAGACATATTCTCTCCTTACCAACAGGTGATCCCAGACTCTGATGCACATCGAGCAGGACTTCAGGAAGGGGACCAAGTCCTAGCTGTAAATGATGTAGATTTCCAAGATATTGAGCATAGCAAGGTGAGCACAGCACTTGGGCTCGGTGAGGCAAGAAATGATCCAGGTAGGACAAGTTGGACAGGATTAGTCTAATTTGTATGTTACTTGGTAAGAAAGAATCTCTCCTGAGGAAGTGTACCAGAAGGAAGCAGCTGTTAGTGACCCAGAAGGTTGGAGTGGCAAATGACTTTCCTCCTGTTATGAATCTGTCCTGGGTCATATCTTCATTTGTACCAGCTGTTTTGCTCCTTTCAGGCTGTTGAGATCCTGAAGACAGCTCGTGAAATCAGTATACGTGTCCGCTTCTCTCCCTACAGTAAGTGTCACTCTCTTTTGTCTTACTTGGAAGGGCCCTGGGTAGGAACTCTTGAAGTCCTGATTATTAGAGCCCTGATTATATGAGCCAGGAGCTCAGGCCTCAAAATAACCTGCTTTTTTCCTCCTTTCTTCTTTTCCCCAGATTATCATCGCCAAAAAGAGAGGACTGTGCACTAGAGAGCTGCAACCCACAGCCCTTCACATGAAAGCTTCTAGGACAAGCTGGGCAGGCCTCAGGGAAACCACATAGTCTCAGACATTTCCGAGACTCCTGTAGGACCCTGTTTTCCCTCCTCTCCCTCCTATTCTCTCCTCCAAAAAGTAAAATGCCATGCTGAAGAAATGTTGGTGTGACTTTTGGATGATACTCATTGAGTGTAAAATGCTATTGAGACAAAAATAAAAGCTCTTTCAAAGATAGGAGTCAAAGATAGGATGTAACAGAGCAGCACTATACCTACTTTACAATTATCTCTATCTGCCCAGAACAGCAGGGAGGCTGGGGAATCTTAGCTACAGTAGAGCTGAGGAATGGTATAGGGTGGAGAGTACTGGAGGAAACCTGCCCTTTCCTCTGTGATCTTTGAACATTTCTCTGCGGGGGTTGGGGAGTATTAATATTGTTCTGTCTTCTCCTTTCCCTGATTCTTTGATCTGGAACATAAACTAAGGGAGAGGCTTAGGTGCATTTATTTTCAGGGATAACAGTGAGAAATTGGTTCCCAGTTTCCAACTTGTAGGTTGAGTAGTTCTGACAGCTGACTTCCCCCTTTTCTTCACCCCAGCCCCTAAAAAACCTTCTGCCATGTTTTTAGTCCTTTAGTTACAATCTTTTGTTAGAGATTCCAGGCCCACTTTATGTCATTTCCATTGGCATGTTCAAAATACCCATTCAGAATAGAAACTTTTCTAATGAGGCATGGGATGAAATTCCCCCATAATGAAAATCCCAATTTTTCTTTGAAAGAATCCTGGGAAGCTTAACCCCTTCCCCGGCAGAAACATGTATACACGTTTTCACAAAATGTTCTTTTTTCAGTCGTAGACGAGTATACTCGCCTAAAACTTTACCTTCAAAAACCAGCTACATACGTACCATTCTAAATAATTTCATCTAGAAACTTTCTGAGGAAATACTATTCTTAACCACAAAAATGGGAAGAAAAAATAATTACAACATGTTTCAAAATGTTCTTTTTCAGTCGTCGACGAGTATACTAAGAAAATATGGTAAAAAAATATGGTTTATAGGAAGACGAGTTACAAACTGTTTTCATAACCAGCATCAAAAATACTATATAGAACCAAAATAAAAAAATTAGTCTGAAAAAGAAACGTTTTTAACAAAAAAATTGTTGGGGAAGGGGTTAAATATATATTTCCAGGCCCTTCCCCTGGAGAGTGATTTTGTTGGTCTGAGATGGAGCCTAGAAATCTGAAATTTTAAGTAAGGTAAATAAGTCTTCAGTTTTAAATACAGTAGTAGTGCTATATCTCTGAGGAAGTTCTGGCTCTTCCTGTAAATTCATCCCAGCTCTGCTTAGGTACATCTTCTAGACAAGGCTTGGTGCCATTGTTAGGTGGCAACATCCTTGTGAGCAGAGCTGGAGGCAGAACTCATTTAGCGGTCTCTGTATTTCCTGGAAATTCCCTTTTACCCTGTTCCTATTGCTCTGCTGCCCCCCAGTGGCCATCTGAATAAGAAACTCTTACTTGCACAAAGGCTTATTGCTTGAGTCCACTGAAAGTTGAGATCCAAGACTATCCCTATTGTTACAACTCATCTAAGAGGTGTAAACTGTAAAAAGTCCCAGCCAGGTACCTTGGGCCTAGACCGCTCCTGCCCTAAATTGGTTCTCACTCTGTGGTACTTGGAATGGTTCAGGGTTGGTTGGAGCACCAGATGATGCAATTGCACTGTGGAAGTACAGTGGGGCCTTGACTTAGAAGTGTCCCGACTAACGAGTTTTTTGAGATACGAGCCTTCTCTCGGCCGACTTTTTGCTTTGAGTTGCGAGCTAAAACTCGGGTTATGAGCCAGCTTCAGATACCCCACTGCTAGTTGGCGCAGCGAACATCACAG